ACCCCACAAAACATCCACCCCCACACCAACCCCACAAAACATCTACCCCAAGCCAACCCCACAAAACATTCACCCCCACACCAACCCCACAAAACATCCACCCCACATCAACCCCAACAGACACCCACCCCACACCAACCCCAACAGACACCCACCCCACACCAACCACAAAAGACACCCACCCCCACACCAACCCTCAAGACATCCACCCAGAATTCACCTTCCACCTTCAACAAACAAACCAAGTATCTGTCGTCTGCCAACGGTTCTCCCCTCAGTACCGTGGACTAGAACTCCCCCATTTTCCCCCAATCCCCCGGACGATGCTTTGTTCAACTGTAACATCCCTACAGGTGCTCGCTCGTGTGAGTGTGTGTGTGTGGGGGGGGGGGGGGGGAGTGGGGGGTGTTTAAAGAGTACCCAGCCCGGGGGTTAATAAGGTAAGGAGCAGACGAGAGGGTTCAAAAACTAAAATAAACATTTGATTCGCGGATAGCTGTTGCGGAAGGTACATAAAAAGTTTATATCAAAGGCGGAAGCAAATGTGTATGTAAAGGTGTGCATGAAGGTGTGTATAAAGGTGTATTGGAAGGCTGTAGAGAAAGGTGGATATAAAGATAAATAAAATTTTGAAAGGAAATGTTTAGTTGAAGGTTTTTGTAAAAGAAGTATCCAAAAATAAAAAGACCGGCTGTAAAAATATTAATAAAAGACAGATGTCAATGGATACAGTTAGTAAAGAAAAGTAAATCTAAAGGAAAATTGAAAGGAGATGAAAAATACGGAAAGAAAGGTTAAACAAATTTGAATAACAATGCTCATGCAGGGGGGGGGGGCGTTTGACACTTTGGAGGGGGCACTTTAAAATTTCAAGGAGGTGGGGGGGGGGGGGCGACGACAGAGGTTAAAGTATTTTTTCTATTTATATAGTTTTTCTTATGTCTGAAAGAAACATTGTTCGCATGTTATTGTTTGTAAAAATCTATGGAAGCTCACTGAGAGATAAGTATGTCCAAAACAAAATGATCTACTGTGAGTTTTAGGACATCTTATTTTTCCCATACAAATAATGTATCGGAGGAAAAAAAGTGCGTTTTGAGACGTCTTTTCTATTTATGTCAAACGTTAATATTCACTTTGAAAACTAATACTCCTTGGAAAAACAGGAACAAAAGGTAAGTATTGCTGCAAGGCTAGACATTGCAATAGGCTTGAACTGATCTTATATTTTTTTTAATGCTGGTGTGTAGAACAAAACAGCTGCGTCAGTTGTGAAATAGACGTCAGGAATGTAATCAATCACAGAAGGCTGTCGGTGTTAAAGAACTGAATGTGTTATACCTTCTAGTAACTGGAATATATAGCACATTCAATCTAGTTCTATCATGGGTTCAACGAAAACGGGTTGGAAATGCAGTACTGTCTTTGATACGGGCTACGTGGGTATACGAAATAAGAGCTCTCGAATAGATATTTAGTCAAAATAAGCATAACTGGCCACCAGAAAACTAGTATCTATAAATTTAATGTCATTAATCATTATAGCAACAAATATTCTCTGAAAAAAAACTTAATTTTAATCAGTAATGATTTTTAATTGGTTTCCCAGTTTAGCAGGAAAGTGCTCAAGAATATTAAAATGATTATTTTGGAACCTCAGACAGTTTTAAACCAGGAGTGGTATCTTTCATCGTCCCATCTATTTGGTCCTCTCCCTACCTTTCATCGTCCCATCTATTTGGTCCTCTCCCTACCTTTCATCGTCCCATCTATTTGGTCCTCTCCCTACCTTTCATCGTCCCATCTATTTGGTCCTCTCCCTACCTTTCATCGTCCCATCTATTTGGTCCTGACCTTTCATCGTCCCATCTATTTGGTCCTGTCCCTACCTTTCATCGTCCCATCTATTTGGTCCTCTCCCTACCTTTCATCGTCCCATCTATTTGGTCCTCTCCCTACCTTTCATCGTCCCATCTATTTGGTCCTGACCTTTCATCGTCCCATCTATTTGGTCCTGTCCCTACCTTTCATCGTCCCATCTATTTGGTCCTGTCCTTACCTTTCATCGTCCCATCTATTTGGTCCTTACCTTTCATCGTCCCATCTATTTGGTCCTGACCTTTCATCGTCCCATCTATTTGGTCTTGTCCCAACCTCTCATCGTCCCATCTATTTGGTCCTGACCTTCATCGTCCCATCTATTTGGTCCTGACCTTTCATCGTCCCATCTATTTGGTCCTTACCTTTCATCGTCCCATCTATTTGGTCCTGACCTTTCATCGTCCCATCTATTTGGTCCTGTCCCTACCTTTCATCGTCCCATCTATTTGGTCCTGTCCTTACCTTTCATCGTCCCATCTATTTGGTCCTGTCCCTACCTTTCATCGTCCCATCTATTTGGTCCTGACCTTTCATCGTCCCATCTATTTGGTCCTCTCCCTACCTTTCATCGTCCCATCTATTTGGTCCTGTCCCTACCTTTCATCGTCCCATCTATTTGGTCCTGTCCTTACCTTTCATCGTCCCATCTATTTGGTCCTGTCCCTACCTTTCATCGTCCCATCTATTTGGTCCTGATCTTTCATCGTCCCATCTATTTGGTCCTCTCTCTACCTTTCATCGTCCCATCTATTTGGTCCTGATCTTTCATCGTCCCATCTATTTGGTCCTCTCTCTACCTTTCATCGTCCCATCTATTTGGTCCTGATCTTTCATCGTCCCATCTATTTGGTCCTGATCTTTCATCGTCCCATCTATTTGGTCCTGACCTTTCATCGTCCCATCTATTTGGTCCTGTCCCTACCTTTCATCGTCACATCTATTTGGTCCTGATCTTTCATCGTCCCATCTATTTGGTTCTCTCTCTACCTTTCATCGTCCCATCTATTTGGTCCTGTCCCCACCTTTCATCGTCCCATCTATTTGGTCCTGTCCCTACCTTTCATCGTCCCATCTATTTGGTCCTGTTCCCACCTTTCATCGTCCCATCTATTTGGTCCTGACCTTCATCGTCCAATCTATTTGGTCCTGTCCCCACCTTTCATCGTCCCATTTATTTGGTCCTGACCTTTCATCGTCCCATCTATTTGGTC